ACTGTAGGTAGTGGTGGTGGTAGTAGTAGTAGCAGTAGTAGCAGCAGGAGTAGTAGGTAGTAGGTAGTAGGTAGTAGGTGGTACGTAGTAGTAGGTAGTAGGTAGTAGGTCGCTGGATCAGAATAGACAACCATTGGACTGAGACATGTCGATGGATCAGAATAGACAACCTCTGATTCGGATTCGTTCTGTTTTGTAAAGCGACTTCGCTTGAAATCAACAGCAACAAACTCTCCCAGCAAAATGTGCAACTCCAATGCACCCACAAGTCTGATTGAGCAGGGTATTGTTGTTCGATGTCATTCTGGGTCTTTCATTTCAAACGGTTTGGAGAAAAAAAACGACAAAGCCTGCCAGATCTAGAAATTCTTCGGTCGCTTTGAAGCCTTCTGTGTGTGAAAAAGAATATCTGGTGCGTGTGGCAATCCCTCGAGACGGTCGAAAAAAAGATCTGAAAAGGAAAACATGCACACGGCCAAGTAGTTTGGAAGAAGAATCGCTTTCAAGGTCATGTTTTGTGGATAGTCTTGGTTCGCATTGCTTGTGTTGGTTTCACTTGGTTCCTCTTAGGTGATTCGACTGAGACATGCCGGTTCGGATCGCTGGATCAGAATAGACAACCTCTGATTCGGATGCGTTCCATTTCATGGTCAAACAACCTTGAAATAAACATCAACAAACTCACCCAGCCAAATGTGCACCTCCAATGCACCAACAAGTATGATTGAGCAGGGTATTGTATCATTAAGCTGCCTGCCAATGCGGGCTCGAGCTGGTGGCCGGCGGCATGCCGAAGGCTGTAAATTTAAACAAAAAAACACATCTTGGGGGTTGTGCCATCTACTCTAAAACTACTGTAAATCAAATCAACCAAACATATAGAATCATAGAACAACCACCGCCAGAATCATAGACCTTTAAAAAAAACGAAGACAAAACAAGCCAAAGCAAACAAAAACAGGGGTCGATTGGCCGGTTAACAAAGTATTTAAACAAACTATATCGGCCCTGGATCTTGGTGACATTGGGCCCTGTTCGATCCACACCCCCTGGAAATTTCTCTTCCAAACATCTCTCCACTGCTTTCCGATCCTCCTGCCTGAATTGCCTGGGCCCCACCAGCTTCAAGTCCAGGTCTGAATTGCTCAACTGCGTTCCTTTGGCTCGGCTGCCACCCTTGTGTACCTGAAACTGACCGCCCACTGCTTTGTGTACAGCTTCAACCACACGAGCCCAAGCTCGTTTTTGATGACTCTCATGCGCTGCTCAGCTGTCCACGTGCACGTTCTTGGATCTTGATTTGTGGGTTGTAGGTATCTCAGTGTACATTCAGTTTTGAGCACCACCAAGCGTCCCAAGCGCGGAGACTGGACGTCACTGTGCGTCAGCACCGTCAGCCGTGACAAAGCGCATCATGTGGAGTCCGGTCACAGCGACTGCTGGAGCAGGACCGGAGCCTCAGTGTGGGTCCACAGCAGGTCGGCAGGTTGGTTGGCGCTTTTGGTTGGCCCTTCGGAAGCTACTAGGAGCGGTCATCGCGACTCGAACGGAGCGATCAAACGCTACGAACGGGGCTTGCCTGGCCGTACTACTAGGAGCAAGTAGCTACTAGGAACAAGAAGCTACCCATTTGCTGGAGTGAGCTCATATGCCTCAAAAGGAGCACAACAAAAAGGACAACCGGCGGAACAACAAGTGGAGTGAGCTCTTGGAGGTTGATGGAACATCCGATGGTCGCCATCGGAGCTCTCACAAAATCCGCTGGTGAGACGCAATCCGCTGGTCATTTGCCTGTCCAAAAGAGGGTGGACAGGATGTAACATCCCATGGTCACATCCCTTTATTCACGGATAGTCCTGATATGTTCTGCACATGCATACGAACTCGGGGTCTACAAGTCCAAACAAAATCCTGGCACATCTCCCTCTTGGCCAAAAAGCGGTGTGCTGTTGCAGCAACATCTGCAGGAACGCAACGGCGCCGGTGCCAAGACTGGATCAGCCTCAGGCGTTGGAGCCGGGCATAGAGTGATCATGGAAAACATCAATTTCAGGGCATCCCATCCAGGTAGTCCAGGTAGCTGCTATACAAATAGTCTCTCTATGTCTCTTTCCTTACACCCTGGATCCAGGAAACCTGAAAACTGACTGGGTTGTAGAGGAAAATCGGACTATTTTCAGGCTCCATGGACTCCATGTTAATCTTCCCGGGTGTATTATATATATATATATTATATAAAATGCCCTGATGGAAAGGGAAGTCTTGTGATAGATCAAGTGCTGGTCAATTCAGAGCTGAAGTCTGACATGAGCGAATCCGGGAAATGAGAAATGAATCCTTCTGTGGATTGGTCAACGATTGCAGCGCAAATCTGACCCGAGACATGTGGATTCTGCAAGAGAGATGGTGGATTCCTGCCGATTTCTCGCGGACAACTTCACCACTTTAGACTGGCTGACACAACATGACCTACAATAGGCAACAGTTGGTCCTGGTTCGTTATAGCTTGGAGAAGAAAGGCTGACCCAAATGTGCTCTACCTCCTCCAATCAACCTGACAGCATGGTTTCTTTGCGCTGAAAACCAGCTTCAATAAGCTAAAAAATACCTTTGTGTTTGCATCTATCATTAGTGGGCCGCGCCCTAAATCGAAGGCAGCCTGTGAATTAAGTGAGGTTGCTTTGCACTGCGCGCGATCGTTCAGTTGTCTTTGAAGAAGCCGATTTTTGTTGATTTATAAAGAGAGCATCTTGAGACTGTCCTTTAGAATCATATCATCCCACACAAACACAGTGAGAGAAACCAACCCAAAATCATCCGATGACGACGCTTCCTGCTATAGCTGATATTTATCCACACATCTACACACGAGAAGAGCACAGCTAAAAAGAACACTGATGCTGTCATACCAACAAAACACGTTCCATCAAATACTCACCCCCTCAGTTTCCCTGCAAAATAATGTTTCAAGGTCAACATGTTCCAACCTGTTTGTTTTGGGTGGGGAAACCCATCCACAACATTTGGTTGTCCACTTTTCCTGGAAGAACAATTTCAACATTCAACTCATGGCAACTTGCCATGCACCTTGCCACGCCGGAACTGGCCCGGACCAAAAGCGATCGGACTCTGACTTCCAAGCTCCCCTATCCACAGGTGTGGGTGAACCGAGCGGCCAAGCCGGGCCGACTGGCATGCGCCGGCATCTTCCAAGACTTCCAAGATCGAGAATGCTTGGACAAAGCGCCGGGGACCTGCATGGAGACACAAACCTTGAGATCGTCCAATTAAATATATCATCATATATCCACCACACTATCCACCACCGATCCTTGTGCTGTGGTGCTGTAGCAACCTCTTGTCCCGTGATCCTTGATCATCGGATGCCGTCTCCGACCAGGCATGTCAACCAAAACCGTCGTCGACCCACCGGATTTCCGTCCAAAAATCTTGACAAAAGCTCTGTCAGCTGTGGGTCAAAACCTGAGTGCAAACGGATTGATTTAGTTCATCCCTATAGTTTGATTTCAAATCAGTTCCTGTTCAGGGAGAAACCACGCTTTTGATATATATACATCGATGTGGACTTGGTGGAGAATCGTAGGCCTGCGTGCTTGGAGATCTTTGGGGCGACGTCGACCAAACTCATGGGTTGGTTCCTGGGGCATCCAGTGGACAGTCCTGCGCGTCATGGCTACGTCACGCACGGGATGGCACCTCCATGCCGCAGAGGTGATGTTTGAGATCAACACCATTCTCCCAGGCCATGGTCATGGGCGCCTCACCCTTCCCCAACTGCAAATGATAACGATAAATGCTGCTGACCTGATGATCTGATGCCAATGACCACACCGATGTGCTTAAAAGAAAACACGCACACACACACACAAAACGACAAATCACATCCTGTTTTGGTCAATGGGAACTTTGTTGATCTTTGTGTGGGGAACTTAGGTAGGACGACTTTCAGATATGTTTGTTTGGGAATGTCCACCACCGCAAGAAAAACATTGCAAAACAACAAATACGAAAGTCAAGAAGCAGCTCCGGGATTGGCCAAGTTGACCAAGGCTCCTTGCACAAAGTCTTTCGGAATCATGAAGACTTGATCATCCTTAGACACGCGCGGACAGTCTTTCGGTGCTTAAGGAATGCACCGACAACAACAGGCGTTGAGTCTCTTCCCCATGCATGAACATTCAGACCCTAAACCTCTCCATGAAACAAACAGTGATGGAATGGTCCATTGCTCTGAAGTCATATGTTTAGTTTATGTTCCATATCAATAATTATTAATCCTTCAATTAAAGCACACCACATATTACCCAACTCACCACCATAAGGCACCATATTACCACATAACAAACATGAATGTGCCAAAACTCTTGCGCCAGGCGTGACCATTCGATGCGGACGCAACAAACCAAGTCCGGTGAGTTCTTCGACTCTTTTCTGTCGCCGCTGACACGCTTTGCGCAGCGAGTCGCTCCCTCCCTGGTCACCCAGCAGCTATGAAGCAAGCCCTACGACCGTGGAAAACACACACACACACGGATAATGGGTTGATTTGAGTGCGGTCTTGAGAAGGGTAACTGGTGACCTCCTGATGAGTGGCATGGGTTCATTTGAGGTCTTGAGAGACTAGTTTCTGGTAACTGGTGACCGACTGGTTGAGTGCACTTGGCCCAGCAATGCAAAAGAAGCTGATACAATGGCCAGAAACAGTGATCATCTCGCATTCTGCGATTCTTGGCTTAGCTGCATGCCATATCCACTTTGTGCAAATAAAACATGTGAGCAAATGCGCAAATAGGCATCCCTACCAGTATCACCACAAAACCATACAAAACCATTGACGTCTTTGTTAGTCCCTGACTCCTTGCCGATGTCTTCCAACTAAATACTTGTCATAGCAGTGTACACACACACCTATTCGCTGGTGCGGGGCTCCAAAGGAAGGTACCAGCAATTGCAACTGGCGGGAAAACGTAGAACTTCCAACATTTCACAGTCACTCCATGTATATAATTGTATATATATATATGTAATCTGTACCTAACTCCTTTTCAACCACCCCAACTGATCGGATATTAGTAGAATGTATGGAGTGTCTGGGTTTGCTACGGGGTTCTCGTGTCAAACCACATCCAAAGGCCAAAATGGTGCTTGACCAGCCCAAGGCACGCAATCCGCGCAGCGGCGCGCCTCATCCGCAGGCTTCTTGGGTTTGATGATGGCCGAGCTTGGATCCCAGGACATCATGTTTTTGGTCACCTCGGACGGCATAGTGCAGAGATGCCAGTCACTGCCAGTTGATCTTCCGAGACCGGAGGAAAACAAAGCACGTTTTACAAAATAGAGCCAACCAAACAACTGGGAAACATGCTCTTTGTGTTGGTGAGTGTGGTGATTTGAGTAGACTAGTGTTTCTTGTATGGTTGCAATGGTTGCAGCGAGCTTTGGGTGATTGATTTGAATGACGTGTTTGTGAGTGTTGTTGTGGGGGAATGGGGTCATTGACTATGTGAAAGCATCTTCTGATGTATTGGAATTGAAGTTGTGAGCGATTGTTACTTTCGTGACTGGACTGAGGCGGAAAATGCTGATTTGTGTGATCGAGAGCCCTGCAGCCAAAGCCTATTGAAGATAAAAAGGAATGCTGAACAATCTCTCCAGCTAGGCAGTGCCCTGTATACATCTGTATACATGTGGGTGTGTCTTCAAATTGCCCCCTTTGGAGAAGGACTATATGATATACCAGCCTACCCTTGGGTAAAAAAGGATGCATACCTTGAGTCTCCAATGACCCTTTTAAATTTGCCTTTCCAAGAAAAAGAGGTTTTTGAAAGAAAGCACTCTTTTTTGCATATGTCACGAAATGTTCCTTTTTTGTTTGTGCCCTGTCAGATCCTCCTTGGACAGTGTCCTGAGACCTTTTTTCGGCGTCCAAAACGCGTCTTTTTGCGTCCAAAAGGCGTCTTTAAGCGTCCGTGCCGGACGCGTCCGGATGAAGATTCACTCTGCACCTTTTTTTGAGTCCTCATCTCTAAAAACGCGTTTTTCGACCAAAAACGCAAAAATATTAGACCAAAAACAAAAACGCAGAAAAAAAAGGTCTTTGGAGACTCAAGGTATATATAATATATATATAATATATATTTGGTATGTAGTCAATAGTCAATAGTAGTGACACCCCCCGGTCCAGGGCTACCTGAACTTCACTGAAAGCTTCTCCAGTCTCCTCGTTTTCCATATTATTAGTCCTGCTCCGCACATGCGAGATCGATCAGTGTAACTTTGGTGAGTTAATGCGTACATTGATGGAAGAACAGGGGCACCTGTATGATGCCCAAATCACACAAACTAAATGCCTGTTGCTTTCCCAATTTCAGGTGATCTTCCTGTCTTTCAAACCCAACAGTGATCTGAGTGTGTGTTTAGGGGTCTGGAGATTTGAATGGACCACCGATCGCACGAGATGTGCGGCATGTGTTACCCAAACTAAGGGAACCAACAATCTCATCGTTCAAAAAGAAAGTTGAGAGCCCTTTGTGTCCATTACTGAAAACATCCTACATGTATCGACATGCTCTCTATTATATGCTCTCTATCAGTTCTTTTGTCCAACACGTTCTGGACGGCGGTGATACAAGGGACTACTCGATGTAATCCCACCAAGTGTGGTGGGGTCCAAAATAAGCAATGTTAGTTATATAATGGTAGTTAGTTTTGGAATTGTGTCTTTCCTTTTTCTTGTTTGTTTTCTGAGGGTTTTGCCAGGTTGCTCCCTAGGGGGGTTCAGGAAGTGTAGTCCCCTGGTGCCTCTGAGGGTGCTTGGCTTTGTTTCAGCTGTGGTTTTGTTTTGCTTTTGTTGGGGGTTGGTTGACTTGACTTGAAAACGCTGGAGTGGGTTGAGGGGGCGTAGCGCCTCCCCGCAAGAGCAGACCAAATCAGCCACAAACAAAAAGGATGTGATCAACACGATCAAAGCCAAGACAAAATCCACGAAAGTCCACGAGAACCAACAGCAAGCCATCCAGAACCAACCCGCAACGAAATCAGCCCAAAGCCAAATAAACGAAGCCACCAAGTATATATATGTTGCCAAACAAACTGCCAAAACCAACAGGAGAAGCTATCAAAACCTAGCCATCAAAATCCGAGAGAACCACCAAAAGCAATCAAGAACCAAACAAACACAAAACCACACAAGCCACCAAAAACCAAAAGCGGCAGAAGCCACAGGAGCCAAAACAGCCACAAGCCACAGAACCCAAGGATGCCAAAAGACATAGCCACAGAAGCAACACGTCAAACAAACAAGAGCCAAAAATAGAGACAAACACATTATATTGCCCTGTGCAAAGAATGTCCTAAAATGCCAAGAGAAGAATCTATTATATATACAGTATATTGTATTGTACGGTATATAATGTCTGGTGGTCACTCTAAACTCTAAACCTGACTGATGCCAGAAGGGGTCCCAAAGAGCTCCAGAATGATGAATCATAAGGAAGTAGTTGTTTGGTACATCTCGCTCAAGCAAGTCACCTTCACTCCAGCCACAGTTCGAAAACGGCAGCCGATGCAGGTCGAAGGCAAGGTCGAAGGATGTCTCACCTGGTCAAAGACCACGAAGTCTGGCCTCCAACGAACAAACCACTGATACTCCACCTCGGTGTCACTTTGAGAGGTTTGGCACCATAAATTTCATGCGAGGCACTTCGCGAGGTGCGAACTACGTGCTTGTTCTTTAAACAATACAATCATGCAAATACATGTCCTTCTTCACAAGCCTGGCATCATGAACTGAAATTCCAGTTCGTTTCATGTGTCATGAACCTTGTCGCTGGCGTTCCCTTTAAAGTCCTTTAACGTACTTTAATGTCGTTTCTCTACTGTGAAGAACTTGCGGTTTCTCCTGGTAGCGCCTTTCGAAGCCCCCAAAACACAAAAAATAACAACACATCAAACATAATCAAACCAACCAGTGGAACTAGATTGTCTATGGGACCATCTCTGTTAACAAGAAGAATAGACACATGATGGATAGATTGAGAGGTCATCAAAAATAAATAGTCCTGAACAACAAGCGGATGGTAAGGGGAACCCATTGTTGGTGTGTGGATGTTCGCTCCCACCATCTCTCCCGCCATCACCCCATGGAGGTTCGCTCCCTCACCCGCGTTTGTCTTTTGGGGTGACCCAAACAAGTGCGGCTTCAACCAACGGGGATTCTCAGTCTGGGTCACTTTTTGAAGAGCCGAGGATGGGGGAAAAGCGGGTTCTGGCGGCCGAACGTCACTCAAACCGCAGGAGATTCGGTCGGGGTGTTGGTGGCCGACTTCGTTGGTGGCGCCCGGGTCGCGAGCCGACTCCCCGCTTGGGCGCTCCAAGGTGCTTGGTGCACGGACCCGAAGTCCAAGACCTTCTTGGCACAAAGCCCCAGGCGTTCGAACTGAGACTTGGCCTTGAAGGGCCACAGCGCCGTGAACCTGCGAGTCCCGGACGACATCCGGGTCCTGGACGCTGGCCCGGACGCACTCGTTTTGCGACGATGTACAATCAAGATAGGTCCTGCAAAACATTTTTGTTGAGCCAAAAGAATCTGTGTTGAATGCATCTGAACGGGCTTCTCCCTGGGTTTCCCTGGAAAATAGGCCAGTTGCCACATGTATATATTATTCCTTTCTGGTGGGATGTCCCCAATTCCCCAAAAAGGGTTTGCACGTTATATACTGTATATACTGACCAAAGTAAGCATCTGAACGGAGTTCTGACCGGACACTCTGTAAGCACTGCATCTCGCCTGAGCTTCGACCGGACCGTGCGCTCGAAACATCCAAAGACATGCAGCTGCCAAGCCTGGCACTGGGAGATGGCCGAATCCAAACCAGTCTACATATACTATACAGGGCCAGGGGGTTGCCTGGATTGAACATACACACTGTCACACCCAAGTGGAAGACGATGTTCATCTACAACCCAATGGCTTTCAGGTTCCATGTGTACGTCATGTTTTCGTCCCTTCCAGGGCGTAGCCGCATGTGTACGTCCCTTCCGCAAACTCGTCACCGGACCCGAGAATCTCAGTCCTCGACCGGACGTCGGTCATGTGCCAGCCGGACGTCGGTCAGGCGGCAGCTTCTGGATTTGATGTCATGATGGGTCATGTGCTTGGATCTGTGTTGTTTCTTTCGGTTTCGGTACAAGGTATGAAGGTGTTGGGAAGACCGTATCAAACCATGACTTCCCCTGCTAAAATGAACATATGCGTTTACAGATTACAAATAAGTGAATGATAATTTATGTATTTGGAGTCGGTGGTTGCTCAGCAAAATCTGGGTTAAAGTCGCTGCTCTCAATCCAGGACCCATGTCTCTCCCAGCTGGACCTCCAGTCGATCACAGCCTGAGATGAACCATTTTGTGCCCTGATGTACTGTCCAACTTGGTGGGACTCACTCACCTCATGTTAGGTTTAAGGGCCTTCAAATAAAGCTGCTAAAAGGCAAGCGTACATGGTGCTCAACTTTAGCCTGCTGTATAAAGTGAAGAGGAGGATTCTTTAATGACTAGCTGACTAGCAGTCTAGCAAAGCCGGTACATCGAATGCGGTTTGATATATAAAAGCGATTGTGAGTACTACAGTGTTACTACACACCTCGAAAGCGGTGGATATCCCATCTTCCAAACACCTCCGGGTCCACACTCGCGCCGGCCCCCACACCACGGGTTCGCCGAGCGCCTTTAGCTGCTGCCACGGCCGGATCACCTGAAGAGCTGCCCAAGCAAACATGAGACATCATGAGACTGATGAGTCTGCTGCTTTTCGTGTGTGTTGGGCTGAACAATCGGTCACTCCGTCTGCTAGAAAGACGACGAACGACACCTCCGTCTGAGAAAAACACATATTGCGTCTGGTGGCTGTGAAGCTCTCCTGCATAGATTCCTGGCCTTCCACTTGTATATTCCATTCAGGACATCACTGGCCAGTGGCTGGAAAACCTCTCACTTATCAGCACATCCAAGGATTGACGTGTCCCAGTCCCACTCGGATGCTGTGGGGTCCGACCCTGGAGTTCCCGGAGGCCCTTCCAGCTTCCAGCTTCCAGAGTGGCCAAGGAAATGGACCCAAAAACACACCCAATCAACAACATGATCGTTGTCCCCTAAGACTGTGTTGATCTATATGTTGACATGTTCACGCGAATCCCGATCAAGAATTACTCAATAAGGTAATATTAATTATAATAGTTAATAATTAAGGCTCACCAAGCGATGATCCACCCACCATCTCTTGAAGCATCACTTCATCACTGCGCTTCTCCAAGTCACCTGTTTCTCCAAAGAAGACTCACCAGCAAAGGACCCTGCAAGGCCGCACACCATCAGCGCTACTGACTTCGTCGCCGGGAGCGGCGGGACTGGCACCTGCCGGTCCCGGAAACGGGAGTCACAAGGGCCGCCCAGGTCGTGGTGAGAGTGACTGATCAAAACCACAAGAAGACCATCTGCACAATCCCAATGAAGGTCGCGGTGACCGTCTACCATTACTTTGCTACCGGGTCGAAGATGATCCCTTGAAGGTATGTTTGTACCACAGAACCAGCGCAGAAGGCTCGACCCTGTTCGCCACGGCACCGGCGGAGGCAAAGGCGCCGCGACCCGCGCGGTGCTCGGTGCCTGGCAGGAGAGGGAGCTCGGTCCTCTTTTCCAAAGTTCAACGTGAATGGGCTTGCAGCTTTTCCTATAGTCACAGGCTTCTTTCCAAGGGGGGCATTTACACCTTCTCCAAGTGGCGCAGCCTAGCTGGATCCGGATTTGTGCGTCCAGCACCGGTGTTTCGTCCGGACGCTACGTCATGAATCGCCCCCTTCGGCGGAATTGGTTTGGATGGGTGGGACAAGGATGAATTGGACCATGAATCACTTCCTGGCGTTCAATACCAAAGGGCTTGTACCAGGGCCCCTAAGGGGTGATTGGACACCCCTTAGGAGGCCCTGGTACAGGCTTCTCCCACATAGACCGTGAAAGTGGACAGCCTTGCAAGGCTATTTATTCTCATCATTTCTCATCGACCACCCGACGTGGTTTTCGAGGTCTTTGGATTCAACGGTTCCGCTTCGGTTGAATCGAATCTGAAGGTTCCGCGATTCAGTTCCCGACAGGCGATACACGCGATTGAGCCCATGTTGAGGCTCAAAATGCACAGCAACTCATCTGGGCATCCTCTCCACCAAGCACGATTGGGATCTGGTAGAGAAAACAACACACCAATATCCTCTTCCAGAACATAGAACAACTATTTCTTGCACCACAGATCCTTGCCACGCAAACCATCATGAATCATTTGAGGTGTTTCCTGGAATGCCCGAGTCCACGAGAATGCAAGCTGTATCACAGCCTTTTCTGTCTACGTGTTCCTACTGTCAAACCAAATCCCCAAACCTCTTGATTTGAATCAAATTAAATCAGGTTCTCATCTATTTCATTGGGTGTCATCCAAACACCCTTGTAGTGCACCTATAAGGTTTGGCACGTTCCTTCATCAAAACAAACGTGTGTTTTCCGTCTCACCATGCCACACCCATTTGTCTCAGAATTGGGGAGGCCCGGTTCTTCGATCCCGATGCCGTCCCCGACGAGGTGCCGTCAACGACGTGATCGCTTGGTCACCGTCCGCTTTGTGGCGCTCCAGTAGGTGGACGATGCGCTCGAGCGCAGGGTGGTGGCTGCTGGCTGAAGCTGCAAGGCCTCCATAGGACTTCCAAAGATAACCCACGAAGCAGATCACGATCAGCAGCCAGGTGACAAGGATCTGCCGCAAAGCGTTCATGCGTTCAGTGCTAGCTGGAATCAGCTGGAGAAGAAAATGGATGGTGGGAAAGAGTCTACACACCCGGGCGATGTTAGCTTCCGAGCTTGCTTGCAGGACCTCATCTATGGCTGCCTTAGCAAAAGGGACATATGGTGAACTTACAGGCAGAACAGGACCAGTTGCCTTACGGGTCAGGCATCCTGAGTCTTGGGCATCCAAAAGTCTTGGGTATGCAAACTTCCAGTGGTTCCACTCCACCCTGATCTGCGTGTTCTTACACTACGGCTCCGTTTGTGGCTGGACTTCCAACTGAGCACTTTAACCATCCGGGATTTACGGTACTTGCCTCGGAATCCAGGACAAACTCGCACAACCGACTTGGACCTACTTGAGGTGGCTGGTTCATGCTGGTTCATGGTTCTGGATGACATCTAAGGTATGCAATGGACAAATGGCCTTTGTGTCGAAGGTTTCTTGAAATGGTGTCTTGGATTGGTCCCAGTAGAACATGTAGAAAGCTAGAAACTGCTTGCCCATGCTTAAGCTGGCTATAGCCAGCTCAAAGCTGAAAGATCTGCCAAAGGTGGAGCATCGTTGCAAATCTCCACCGTGTCAGTCGTCTCGAGCGCCCCGACAGGAAGCTGGCTGACTCGGCGGCCACGCTCCGTGATCTCCCAAACCTGGGAGCGTGGAAACTGAACACGATCGGATCGACACAAAAGCCCCAGCTCTTAGGAGCTGCATTCATGCGAACAAAAAAAAAGAAGAAAAACAGGGGTGGCTTGGAGGTGTTGTTGGACTCTTCTTGGAATATCTTTTTAACAGGAAGAACCAATGAAAAGGGCCCGTAACCTGGAGACCTCGTAACCCGGGTTAACTCCATGTGACACATATGGCATTTGGGGCACCTGGTTGGCATTGGTGCTGGACCAGATTTGGATCAAGTGGATATGATTTTCGACCAAATGGAAATGCGCAGCAAAACAGATTACCAATTGAACTGTTGAACCCCACCATGGCCCACAAACGATACCGAAAGGCGGGACCTTCCTGATGGCTCTGTCACTTTTTTTGCCTCTGCAATCACCACAAACTACAAGGTCTGGGCTGTCTGGGCTGTCCACAATGAGATGGATGGAGACGGAATACAAAGGATTTTGCAGGAGTAACTTCTTGATTCTCAACGGGTTTGATCCTCAACGGCTTAGGCTCTGCATCCATTGTTGTACTAGCTGATACTTCTCCCAGGACAAACCTCGGCACCCGATCCACCAGCCGTCGGAATCCGTCCACCCGATCCACCGGATCCGTACAGAGACAAGCTCCTGCGCTGCAAGCGCAGTTGGTTTCAGGACCAGGAGGTTACAGGGTCACCCTGACTAGTCACTCCAACTAGTCGCAGGCACTCAATGACATCAATTGATCAAAGTTCATGGACAAAAAAGGACACACACACACACATCAAAAGTCTGTCTGACTTGGAAGGTCAACTGCAAAGCTTTTGGTTGAAATTCCTTTGGCCTACTTTGATGTGACTGACCCAGAAAGGCTTTTTGGGCCGCCGTTGACTGAGTGGCGGCGCCCTGGGCCTCCCGACACCTCCGGGCCGCGAGACTAAAACCTGGCGGGTCACTCCGACGCCACGTGGTGCTGGAGGTTCCACGAAACATCCACAAACCATCGGAGGTCTCAGTGTATCAATTCACTCCTTCCCTAAGGATCCGGACCCTCAAAGACAAGGGTTTGGAGGGTACAAACCCCTTCTATGGAGGTCCCAAAATCGGGTCTGACCTATTTGCAGCCAGTGTTCTGAAGGGCGGCGACGCCTGGAGCACGACTCCATGGCCAGATGAGATACTTATCTGCGTCATGTGACTCCCTGGCCTGAAACAACATGCGAAAGGAGTAAAGTGGATGAGAGGGACCATTTTGACGCGTCAAAGCATGCGCAATGGTCATTTCCTGTATCCAATAGGTCCTACAATTGGCCTATGGGCGAGCCTTCATCTGCTGGAAACCCGCCAATCCTCTGACAAGCGTCAGCTTCATTGAACCCTTTCTGCCAATAAGATCCTAAATAGTATAGGAATGTATAGGACACAATCTATGACATTACATTGTTGAAATACCCAACAATAAGCTAGTGAACGTGTGGACACACTGTTTTTTGGGAAGCACAAAATCCTTCACATATCTTCAACTAATCTTTCAGCCTTCAACCCAGCTTTGGCTGGCGGGCCGACGAAAACGACTGATCTCCTCTTCCCCACGTTCCGCTCCCGCTCCCAGCTCCGCCTGCAGTCTTTGCAACAGCTCTCGTGCTTGGCCAACAGACTCCATACGCGGAGCATCCTGATGTTGGGGCGGAACATGATCTCCCATCGGAGCGTTTGCCAAAGAAACAACGCGATGTTGGTCTTCACATCATTTGACCTCCACATGCCGTGCCCACATGCCGACGTCGCGAGACGGGTGCCCCCGCGAGCCACGGCAAGGCGTTGATCTCCTGGAGCTGTGGAGACGGCAAGGGTGGCTTCGAGGTGAGAGGATCCTTTGAGTGAGATGCATCTCATGTTGAGCGAACAACCAACTCCGCCAAATGCTGATTTCTCCTACCAGGGCCCCCTGTTTGGGGTGGTTAACGGTCAATGGAATTCATCCAGATCCTTCCCTGGTCTGTTTCATCCACAGACCTGATATCAGCGATCTGGATCTGGAAACTGGACAATTCAGATATCAACTCGTTTCTTGAAACAAACACTCCAATAGTTTTGGATCCACGACGACCGAACTGTGAGGCCTGTCGTTTTTTTGACCGAACTGTGAGGCCTGTCATTTTTTTCCCCGTCCGACCCCGACCGAACTACAGCGTGTACTGGACGTGAAGAGGGCCGAACACATATGGTGTACATCATGGTGAACCAAATAACAACGGAAGAAGGCATAGAAGCACCATGTTCGGCTGTTAGATCCATGTTCGGAATAGAAGCATCATGGGTGTGAACTCCATGAACCACACCGTATTTCTTTCCTTGCAGATCATACGACAGGCCTCATGCACAACTCAAGTAATTACCATATACTTCCCGATCATGTCCTCTTGCTGTCGAGCTAGCCATAGCTAGAGGATGGTTGTATTTTAGTTGTGTCATGTTGCGTCGAGTCGCAATCCTCAATGGGACGCCTCGCGAGCTGCTGATCTTCCCACCCGGACCCTTCGGCCGCTTTTCGATCCAGGCCGTCCTGGTTGGTGCCATGCCCAGCCAAAGCCAAGGATAGAACCTGGGACACCAAGGACCAATGAGAAAGCATATGTGACTGTCGTTAAACCATGTTAAACCTTTAGAATCCTTGAAACAAGGAGAACAACAACACATCACAAAACAGAACATTGCTGCATTTTGTTGCTTTGTTCGGCTGTTGCTTCAGGAACCTCATCCTTCTTGTAGCTTTGTTAATGGAAAGCAGAACCTTACTTTGTGCTCTACTTTGAGGTGGCAACCCCCAGCTAGATGGTGAATCTCTTCACGAGAAGGATCGCCAAGATGGGGGTTTTGAGGATCTAGCGATCTATATTTATAATATATAATTGGGTAAGGGATTGGTGAAATAAGACATTGAAAGAGCGATTGAACAAAGGGACAGGAAGAACCAAGGAGACAACTAGACAAAGTTTGTAGGATGGTTGTATTAGGCCTAGGAGGATGGTATCAGGATTGAAGGGAGGCAACTAGACCAAGTTTGTAGGATGGTTGTATTAGGCCTAGGAGGATGGTATCAGGATTGAAGGGGAAGGAGGCAACTAGAGTTTGTAGGATGGTTGTATTAGGCCTAGGAGGATGGTATCAGGATTGAAGGGGAAGGAGACAACTAGACCAAGTTTGTAGGATGGTTGTATTAGGCCTAGGAGGATGGTATCAGGATTGAAGGGAGGCAACTAGACCAAGTTTGTAGGATGGTTGTATTAGGCCTAGGAGGATGGTATCAGGATTGAAGGGGAAGGAGACACATAGACCAAGTTTGTAGGATGGTTGTATTAGGCCTAGGAGGATGGCCTAGGAGGATGGTATCAGGATTGAAGGGGAAGGAGACACATAGACCAAGTTTGTACGATGGTTGTATTAGGCCTAGGAGGATGGTATCAGGATTGAAGGGAGACAACTAGACCAAGTTTGTAGGATGGTTGTATTAGGCCTAGGAGGATGGCCTAGGAGGATGGTATCAGGATTGAAGGGGAAGGAGACACATAGACCAAGTTTGTAGGATGGTTGTATTAGGTCTAGGAGGATGGTATCAGGATTGGGACAAAGGAGACAAAACATATTCAACTAGACCAAGTTTGTAGGAGGATGGTTTTCTGGAGGATTGTATCAGGGGTGAAAGTGGCACTAGATCGAAAGGAGGTGAACTCCGATACCACCAAAGGCGGTCAACGCTTCCACGAGGCTTCCGGTCTGCGGGTCCTGAGGCTTCCACGGATGTGGACAGGTCCTGGCGGGCCACGTGGACCGGTCTGCCACCGACGAGGATTCCGTGTAGGATTCCGACTGGTCTTGTATGGTCTGTACGGCCCATATACTTTGGGTACAGTATCTCACATTACCAGTAACCGTGGGTGATTGGATGATAGTTAATAGATGTTCATACATGTTCAAGACGATTGGATGATGATAGTTAATACATGTTCATATTCAAGACCCTTCCCAAACATCGTGATCATCTTTACCCAGACTCGGTCTACAAACACACGACCGGCCTACGACAGTCACCTGCCCCCTACCGCCCATCCGACCAGACCGGAGTCGCGGCAAGCGCTCACCCGTTTGGGCATGTGGAGGACCCCATCAACCAAAAGAGTGCGAATGGCAAGACATGACTTGGAGAGGGTTTCTATATATATATATATGTTTCTATGAAACGCATTTTTTTTTTGTGGCCGTTAACGCATTCAACAATGGCAATCTGCCGGATCTGCCCTCCTACATGTTGCCCCAAAAGTAAAATCAACCTGGTCCCTG